GGAATTTAAATGGGATTGAGACAGTAAACTCGGAACACTACTTTTGGGTGTACTGAGGGCACAGGTTCAGAGTTGCAAAGAGCAATTTCAGGACAGAAACCAGGAAGCAATTTTTTCCGAGTGAGTAACGACTGGACCAGTTTATTAGAAGGGGTGTTTGAGGTCAGTACACTGGGACTCATTTGAAAAGCATTGTTTTGCTCACAAATATACAGTCAATTCACTTTACATTATATGCTGTGAAGCACTTTGAGATGTATAGAAGATGTGGAAAGCGCTATATTAAAATACAAGGATTATTATTATGTTGATTTGGGACAGCAGGATGGCTACTCTGGAATCAATAAGATGAAGTGGGCCAAAATGTCTTCTTCGTCCAATCCACTCTTGTGATTGCCTATAAGAAAGAAAAGCTTCCAAAAATGCATCTTGAGACCGTTTCCCACTTTTCTCCCAATTTACATCCGAAGATTATTTGTCTATATTTTAGTTTGCATTTCACAGTTATGACAATGTTTCTGTACATATTTGTAGATGGTGCATTCGGGTGGTTAAGAGCTTCATTGAGGATGATCCCGGAATGATAAGGAACGTTCCCCACTCTCCACCCAAACCCCCAGCCCCCAAGTGCACGGATGGGGTTTTTGAGAGCTTTTGTAGGTGCTCATTTTCATTCTAGAGGGTGCCCGAGCTAGAGAATAGCAAAGAGCTCTGAATGGAGGGACTTGGATGGATCAATAGTGGCAGACACTCATATGTATGTTCACTGATCTTTATGCTCAGTCCATTCAGTTCATTTCTCCTGCCAGCTTTTGGAAGTTGTAGCCACGAACAACAATTCGACTAGGTTTTATAACATATAATATAAATCATTGATACATTGTGACCTTGGAAGGAGGGAAGAGTTTCAAACGGTATACTGTACTGTACAGTATATAAAAAAGACTTTGGCTTTCAAGAGTTGGATGCTTGTCAAGTGTGATATTATAACGTGAACGAAACATGATGTGGGTGAACACAACGGTTACTTGGGGATCGTCCCACTTAAAGAGTCAGTTTCATCACTGGATTAAACTGCAACCTAATCTTTATGACACTTCCCCGTCTCCCCCCTCCCCCGTTTCTTTGAAGTGCAAAGTGTGACATTGCAATTCACATTTATATCTTGGGCATCTTCGCTGATCTGCTCAACAGCTGCTTCTAGTTCCTTTAGGATTGTCGAATTCTTCAAAAAGAAAATCCCTTTGCCCGAATTCCACTGGGAAGCCCCACTCCTTTTAATAGTTTGTGCAAATGAAAGACTTCAGCAGAAACTCTGTGTTTTGTTGGCTGCAATGAATTTAATCCCTCCGTGGTTTTAACAGGAAGGTCGTGGCCCAATGTGGTGGTATTGAGAGATGGCAGGAGAAGAAAGATTTCTGACTCATACAGTCCAAAGCAGCTAACAAAATCCTCTTCAAGCACCAAAATCTTGTTTAAATGGATCCTGGAGTCAGCTTCGTGAAACCTCTAACCTCACGCCATCTAGGACAAGCTCGGAGGAACCTAAGTAAAGTAAGCCCTGGTTTATTATCGTTTTAAAATTGACAATCAACTTGAAAAAAAAAGGTTCATCCAACCTGTAACTTTACATCTTTAATATACCCCCCCACGCCATAAAACATTCATTGGAGGTTTTTTTTAATTTTAAAAACTTCTTCACCCACAAAACTGTTTTACAGTGTATCCTGTGAAGCCCTTTGGGACGTCCTCCCATTGCAAAGATATTAGGTGATTTGGGCTGTCTTGTGATAGTCAAGAAAGGGATGTGGCTTCTTTAAGAGGAGTGCTTAAGTACTGGCGAAACCTTAGGCAAGTTTCCTTACTTTACTCCACACGTCTCTGTTTAACAAGCAGTAAGTAGGAATCCGGTTGTTAGTCAATTGGCGGATCACTTATTATTATTTTGACAGCAGGCGATGGCACGCATGTTTTGATGAAGGTGCTGCAGATTTTTTATGTCAAAACAAACTGATTTCAAATCTGGCCAACCTCCTGGCTGTCTGAAGCTGACGTGAACCATGCGGACAGACACATCAGGACGATGCTGACCCCAGATCAGAACATCAACCCGAACGGTTCAGCTGAGGCCAAAAAAACAGATTTGAATGGAAGTTATCATGAGTTGCTGCTGGGTTCCTGGACAACCTTGCAACCCAAGCCCCAAGCATTCATCCATCTACCTGGAAGCTTGCCAGTGTTTGCAATGACAAGTTGTTTTAGTTATTTAAACCCACACATACATGGAGCTCTCAGTTTGGAGTTTTGTGTCTCTTAAATAAATGGTGATAGGTTTCCACATGTATCAGACTTCTAAGCTAACCCCCTGCTCCCCCACCCGCCCCCCCCTCCCTCCCCAAAAAAGCACATAAAACACAGCAAGAGACCTTGGTCAGTTCGGTATTGCTTGCACATGATCCAATCAACGTGGGCTATGGATTTAATAATGCTGGTTTTGAATTGCGAGCAAGGAATTCTAAGACTTGTTTGGAATTCTGCTTGAATTCAGGACAAACAAGGAATTAACTATTGTTGGGTTGTGCTGCAGTTGCAATTAACAGCGACTGATGGATTACACTCAAATCTATCGTATTCTGCTCGCAAGTGCATGGCTTGAACCGATTGGGTCATTGATCTGGGGTTCATGTCAGCTTCAAAGATCTGGGATTTGTCAAGGTGCGATGTTGGTTCATTTTCGCATTAAGTGTTTGGCCTCTTCATCAAATTGGGGGCTCCAACCCCCCCCACCCCCGTGCTCTTAAGGAAGCAATGACCCCTTTCTCAGCCACTGCAAGACCAGCCCTCGAAAGTCAACCTTCTTCGCCTTGTATATTCCATACATCAGGGCTGAGATAATATTTAAGTAACAAGTGTAACGGTGAACGGGAGTGGGGGTTGGTGGTGGGGAGAAACTCTAGGTGACAGCTGCAGTTGTATTTTTAGAGATACTAAATATGTTAATGTTCCTAAAAACACTTTACAAGGCAATGTGTGAAGGCTGTCGAGAGAGTAGGATTTGCAGGTGCAACCAGCAATGAAGAGTTGGTTTCAACAGTTGCGGGGTTGCTGCTATCATCTGTATTAGTTGCATTTGGATCTTTTGACTTGTTTATTCAAGCCCCACGACGGCACTTTTACCTCAAAATTCTGGCTGATATTCCAGTGCAATGCTGGGGAAGTGCTGCATTGTTGGAGATGTCGTCCTTCGGAGACATTAAACTGAGATTAAAGAGCCCACAAACAATATTCAAAAAGAGAAGGGAGATTCTCTCTATGTCCTGGCCAACAATCCCCAGGTAAAATTGATCATTCACTGCATGGCCATGTGTGCAGCATTTCCGGAAATCTGCAAGAGGCAGTATTTGAGAGTGCAAATGGTTGCACGTCGACTGTTAAGCTGTGAATTCTGTTCTGCAAACACACATGAAACACAATGAGCATCTTAAGAAATCCAATGCGGCACATACAACGTTCTGCAGAATGAGATGTGAAATCTTGATAAATGTTGCGTATTTATGGACAATTGCAGAAATAGTCACTCAATAACTGAAAGAGAGTGACTAGAGGTGGTGTGTAGGGATGGTGATTGCAGTTATCACAGCTGTCTGAAGAGGCCCTTTTTAGCCAAACCTTTACAGTTAATTTTCCCCATTGTTTCTCTTTCAGGGGCAAATTTCTCATATAATAATGTGTTGTTACTTATCCAGATTTCCAGCAAGAGCGATTTATCACTTATTGTGTAAATATGTATATAACAATATATATAAAAAAGTAAAGGTTAATAAAATAATAAATATATCTATAACAAAGAAAATAAATAGTTCTTGCTGGAAACCTGAATAAATAAGAACACACACAAAATTGCCGGCAAATGTGCAGCAGGTATATAAGTAATTCCAAATATGATATAAATCTGTGAACATACGTGATACATATATACACACACAGTATATATATCACACCTAAATATACATATAAAATTGGTCACTCACTCTATGGACGTTTGTGGGACATCGCTGTGCGCAGATCGGCTGCCGGGTTTCGCCCACACAACACAGTCAATCCACTTTACCGCATATAACAACAACCCGCTTAACCGCATATCCCGCGAAGCGCTTTTGAGACGTCTCGACGACGCGATAAGGCGCTGTATCGAATGCGAGGACCGTTACGTCTCTGCGTCGCACCTGAAGCCTTTTTGTTCGGAAGAGGGCACGACTCCTTTAAGAGAGAGAGGGAGAGAGAGAGAGAGAGAGAGGGCTTTGAGAGGGAGTGTTTGATGCTCTGCTGGAGTTGATGGCACTCGGATTTGGAGTTGATTAGGAGCTGAGCTGAGCTGAGCTGAGCGGTGAGAGGGGGAGTGGCTCCGTTGGCTCACGCAGTACAGTAACGCTGTCTCGCCTCTCCCTCTCTATATATCAGTGAGCAGCGCAGAGACTGAGGTCCAGAGGCGCTGTCAGCGGTGAGCGCTGCAGCCGCGGTGGGGACAGGGGGAGAGGAGAGGGGGGAAACCAGGGGAGAGGGGGGAAACCAGGGGAGAGGGGAGGGGGGAAACCAGGGGAGAGGGGGGAGAGGAGAGGGGGGAAACCAGGGGAGAGGGGGAGAGGAGAGGGGGGAAACCAGGGGAGAGGGGGAGAGGAAAGGGGGGAAACCAGGGGAGAGGGGGAGAGGAAAGGGGGGAAACCGGGGAAGAGGGGGAGAGGAGGAGAGGGGGGAAATCGGGGGAGAGGGGGAGAGGAGGAGAGGGGGGAAACCGGGGGAGAGGGGGACAACCAGGGGAGAGGAAAGGAGGAGTGGGATTTTGGACACCAGGGGTTGGGGTGTTGGGGGGAAATGCGAACAGATGACTGAGACGCTGACAACTTCCAACTAAAAAATTACCCCCTCACCCCATCTCCCCCCCACCCCCCACACCTCACCCCCCCGGGCTCGAGTGACCGAGACCCCCCTCCCCCCAGTCCGGTGTCCGGTGTCCGTGGCGTCTCCGCTCCCCCCACCCGGACACGGGACCATGTCGAAGTCGAAGCAGCAGCAAACCCCGGGCGCTGTCACCGCCGCGCAGCCGCCCGCGCCCCCGGTGGGGGATCGGTACCCGGTCAGACCGGAGGGCGAGAGTGGCGGCGGCGGCAACAACAACAACAACAGCAACAGCAGCAGCAACAACAACAACAACAGCAGCAGCAGCAGCAGGAACCGGGAGAGGACGGAGGCGGAGAGCGATCGCTGCAGGACCAGGGACCGGCTGGAGGCGGCCCTGGCCGGGCTGGGGGAGCTGGATTTCCTGAAGCAGAGGCAGGAGTACCTGGTCCGGGGGGCGATGGAGTTACTGAGACCCCCGGAGCAGAGCGAGAGGGGGAGGAAGGGCGAGAGCAAGAAGGCGGCTCAGGGGGACCTCTGTCTGACCCCCGAGGAGAAGCAACTGGAAGACAACATTTTGATGCTCAGGAAACAACTGGTAAGAAGATCTTTTATTGTGTGGTGGGGGGTGGGGGGGGATGGGGAGGGTGTGGGGGGGATGGGGGTGGGGGGGATGGGGGGTGGGGGGGGGATGGGGGGTGGGGGGGATGGGGGATGGGGTGGGGGGGGGATGGGGGGTGGGGAGGATGGGGGGTGGGGGGGGAACCAGATCTGTATCAAACGCCTCTTAATTGTACCAATCGTAACATTTCAAGGATTATTATTATTATTATCATCATCACATACATATGCGATGTAATATATAGAGTACGTGCAGTGTCTGTGTGTATAACGGTCGCAAACGTTTGACCCACAAACTATACGGTCGGTGCACTTTGCAGTATATTCTGTGAAGCGCTTTGAGACGTCTCCATAAGATGCCGCATCGGATGCAAATGGTATCATTATATATTATGTTGTTCGGATGTGTTGCAATATTGTATTCCTACACATGTATCAACTGACCTCACAACACACACACACACACACACACACATAGCGCTGCCTTTATTTTTTTTTAAAAAAGGTTTGGTACAAATATTGCTTTGTTCAAACAAAACACAGACACACACACACACACACACACACACCAGGTCGTTGCAGTTCTGTCCCGAACTAAAGATAAAAGTCTTTAGTGAAGATAAAAGTCTTGAATTTCGAGGTGGAGGTCGAGGTGGAGGTGGTGGTGGGGGTTAAATGTAAATGGTCCTACATTTGTGCCGATGGTAAAGGATGTGTATCGATTTCACTATTTACTTTCAGTGACCTTCCTCCCATTTGAATTGACCGCTTTGTGTGTAAGTGTGTGTGTGTGTGTATGTGTAAGTGTCTGTGTGTGTGTGGGTGTGTGTGTAAGTGTGTAAGTGTCTGTGTGTGTGTGTGTGTGTGTGTAAGTGTGTGTGTGGAAGAGACTCGTTAAAACCTCTTGTGCAGATAAAGCCAGAGAGAGAGAGAGAGAGAGAGAGAGAAATCCAACAACTGTCTGTGGGCAACTTCTAGTCATTTGGTTTCACTCGAACACATTCATTTCAGCGGAGCTACAGTGTAGCGGTTTATAAAGCAATAGACAAGAGGAGAGGGTGTGTGTGTGTATATATATATATATATAGGGGGCTGTGTGTGTATATAGGGGACTGTGTGTGTGTATATATATAGGGGGCTGTGTGTGTGTGTGTATATAGGGGGCTGTGTGTGTGTGTGTATATAGGGGGCTGTGTGTGTGTATAGGGGACTGTGTGTGTGTATATATATATAGGGGGCTGTGTGTGTGTGTGTGTATATAGGGGGCTGTGTGTGTGTATAGGGGACTGTGTGTGTGTATAGGGGACTGTGTGTGTATAGGGGACTGTGTGTGTGTATAGGGGACTGTGTGTGTATAGGGGACTGTGTGTGTGTATAGGGGACTGTGTGTGTGTATAGGGGACTGTGTGTGTGTATAGGGGACTGTGTGTGTGTGTATATATAGGGGGCTGTGTGTGTATATAGGGGACTGTGTGTGTGTATAGGGGACTGTGTGTGTGTATATATATATATATAGGGGGCTGTGTGTGTATATATATATATATAAAAATAGGGGGCTGTGTGTGTATATAGGGGGCTGTGTGTGTGTGTGTATATAGGGGGCTGTGTGTGTGTATAGGGGACTGTGTGTGTATATATATATATAGGGGGCTGTGTGTATAGGGGGCTGTGTGTGTGTATAGGGGACTGTGTGTGTGTATATATATAGCGGACTGTGTGTGTGTATATATAGGGGGCTGTGTGTGTATAGGGGGCTGTGTGTGTGTATAGGGGACTGTGTGTGTATATATATAGCGGACTGTGTGTGTGTATATATAGGGGGCTGTGTGTGTGTATAGGGGACTGTGTGTGTATGTATAAGGGACTGTGTGTGTGTGTGTGTATATAGGGGCTGCATTCATTCCTTTTATTAGTGAATTAGCAGCCGATATGTCTGTTAAAAAAATGGTACTGGGTGGGGGGGGGCGGGGGGGGGGGGGGGGGGCGGGGGGGTAACTGAGGAGATGGGAGATTGCAGTTACATTGTACAGTTTTGCAGTTACATTGTACAGTTTTGCAGTTACATTGTACAGTTTTGCAGTTACATTGTACAGTTTAGAGATCGTTCTTTGACCGAGGTGATAGCGAGTATGATATTCTCCCCCCCCCTCCCCCCACCCCAACACCCCCCCCTCCCCCAACCCCACGCAGTATTGCAATAAACTAATTTCATGTTGAAAAAATAACAGCACAATCTCGATCTTCGTTTCATAGGGATGGGGGTCGTTTTTATCTGTAAGTCTTGATGGGGTTGCCACAGCATGTGGGAAGGAGTGAGTGAGTGTGTATGTGTGTCTGTGTGTGTGGGGGGGGGGGGGGGGGTGGGGGGGGTGTTGGGTGATTGAAATTAACTCTACAGGCAATCCCCTGCGGAGAAGGGGCTCCTATCTCTCTGTTGACATGAGCTCAGCTGATTGTGTGTGTGTGTGTGTGTGTTGGGGGGGTGGGGAGCACTCACTCCCCCCCCCCCCCCACCCACTCCCTCCCTCCCTCCCTCCCTCCCTCTGTGCGATGCGTCCAACAGTCAGTAACTACAGGATAGAACAATAGGCTGCAAGGTTATACAGCCTGAGCAAAACTGCGCCCCACTTGAATATGTAGTGTTCTCAAATGTTTGTCTCTCTGCATCTCTCTCTGTCTCTGCATCTCCCTCTGTCTCTGCATCTCCCTCTGTCTCTGCATCTCTCTCTGTCTCTGCATCTCCCTCTGTCTCTGCATCTCCCTCTGTCTCTGCATCTCTCTCTATCTCACTATCTCTCTCTGTCTCTGCATCTCTCTCTGTCTCTGCATCTCCCTCTGTCTCTGTACCCCTGTATCTCTGAATCTATCTCTGCATCTCTCTCTGTTTCTGCATCTCTCTCTATCTCTGTATCTCTCTCCATCTCTGTATCTCTCTTTATCTCCCATCGAAGCGTTACTGAAATAGTTTGAGCTTGTTGTCCACGGGATCATTAATGTACAACGATATATATAAAAGTGCTGATACCATTGCAATGTCTAACAAATCTTAAAAAAAAATTGTTTTTTTAAGAATAGGGTAACAGCAAAAATAAGACTTTTTGGTCACTGTGTGTGTGGGTGTGTATATATATATATATATATACTCTCCTCCCTTAAAAATAGGAGAAAACAAGTCTAGAGAGAAATCATGGGTTGGTCGGTCACCTTTGGTTTTAAACGTCGCTTAGATTTTTCAGGCGACGCCATATTCAATCCTGTCAGCGTGTGTTTGAGTAGCGAGCGCCAAGTTATACCACTTTTTGCCTCAAAATGTGGGTTTAATTCGATCATATTCTAGATGTAGACGTACGTTCAGAAATTAACCGCCAGCCGATTGCCAGGGTTCAGCCCAGGGCTCATCAATCACATTGAACTTTCTGTCAAGCCAATTCCACAAGGAATAGAGTTCATTGGAGGAGGGTGAGGGGGGAGGAGGGGAGCAGAGAGAGAGTGGGGAAGCGGGTGGTGGAGAGAGAGGGAGCGCGGGGAAGACTAGGCAGCTTGTTCTAAATACCTTTTTAATAAAAGGTTGTATGGATATTGCTTATGGAATATCTGCCTTTATAAAGCAGTGGTTGTGTGTGTGTCTTGTGTTGTAATATATACAGTATAATGAAACAGTAACAGCCTCTGTTGCCTATTACCCCAGCTACACTGCAAGATAAATTGTCGCTGAGGCTGGCAAGCCGCCAAAACACAAAGTACTTTCCCTTACAAAGGGCTGCAGAACTGTGTTTTGATTCAAATAACCGGGCATCAAATTGGACTTGCTCTGTTGCCGCTGTTTGACTTGTGTTTGACTGCGGGATCCACAGCGCATCACTGGTCTGTCCAGAGTGAGAGCCCAACACAGACGGACCCCAGCCTGCATTCATTGTTTGGGGGTGGTGGGGGGAGAGAAACGAGATAATACAAGGATTATTATTATTATTATTGTCTTGCATCATTGCATTATTTTGCATTGTTCCTTAAATTGACCAAAAATAGCGAGAGGATAGAAAAGGAAAGTGGCTGAATGTCTTTTGCGGCAAGCTAGCTTGTGATTGTACAAAGAGCAAAAAAATTTTAAGGGCGGGTGTGGGGGGAAGGGGGGACCCGTGACCTTTTTTTTAAGATTCTCTGATTCAGCCGCAAAGAAGGAGGGAGGGGGAAGGGTTCGGCGAGGTAGGAAATATTCCAGTTCCGGTGCTCCAAGATAAACATGCCAATTCCCTGCTCCTTCAACTGGGAATGCAAGGCTGACCGCCGGGAGATCTGCAATTCATTAAAACATGCATTCTTCCTGCTTTTCAGAACTGCTTGAGGAGGAGAGATGCCGGGCTCATAAATCAGCTGCAGGAGTTGGATCGGCAGATCAGTGACCTTCGGCTGGATGTGGAAAAAGCACCTAATAACCACCTCGAAACAGACAGCCGACCTAGCTCAGGTTAGTCTGCTGTTGCAGGCGTCCAGATGTGTACAGTGCAGTACTTCATTGGTGTGTGTCTGTGAGCTGAAACACAACAGCCATTTTCAACCTTGGAATGCTACTCACAAACGTACATCCCGTTTGGGTATTGTTTCCCCCCACTTTGGTTTTTTGAAATCATTGATGATGTGGATATTGCTTCAAAACTCGAGCAATTCTCTGGAGCCACGGCACAGCAGGTAATGTAGCAATATCTGAATAACATGAGAAGTGCACTGTTGGCAAGGATTGACTGCGGGGATCTGCAGCATAACAGACCTCGTGTTTGCATTAATATGCAAGGTTTATTAGCTATTTGTTCAGAGTTAAAATGTAATGCTCATGAGGCCTTGTGTGTGTGTTTTGGGGAAGAGGGAGAGTTCAAGCTGAATTTGCGAAACCTGTTGGCTAGCCTAAACAACCAAATATCCAGACATCATTATAAAGTTGCCATAGCAACCTCTGCCCTATATACCTCTGTCCTCCTTTCTCCTATTCCTTTGCTATTCCATTTTCATATAACATTAAAAAAAGTCTGCTCTATAAGGTGCCTACAGCAATATGTGACAAATTCAGCCGCAAAGTATAAGGTGAATGTCACCCTTTACTATCTTTCCTTTGTTCAACCTTACTGCACATACTATGAATTGCTTGCTCACATACTCCGAATTGAGGTGCGTGTGCGGTTTACTTTAATGGCCAACATGTGGTGTGCTGGAAGTTGCAAAGAGCTTCATGTTCTCTGAACAATTGAATCTTTATAACCGAAATCTATCAATAAGCCTTGATAGATTTTGCAATCACAGGATAACAGTGGGCTGCTAAGTGTTGCCTCTTAGGTTTTGAAGTTAGGTCTCTGTGTATTCATTTTATATTATTGACCTCAATTACAACCTCCCGAATGCTTTTAGCAATGGGAAGCTATAATAGTCTTTACTTCCTTGACTCAGCTTGAAGAAAATCCATATTCTTGTTTCCACAAATTCCGGGCATTCAGCAAGAGCACAAATGGTTTCTTGAACCCAGCTCATGTTTTGACAAATATATTGATGTGGGCATGGCCCACTGTTGATCACTCAAGCAAGAAGGTTTATATATTTTTTAAAAAATATTGACTTAAATAAACATTGTCATTGAACCTTGCATGTCAAGAATCCTCAAATAATGTGAATTATTGTTCAGTGTCATCAAATATTTTCTCCTGATCAATGCCCTTTAAGCTGCTATAGTTTTAACCTGCTTTACATCTTTGCAGGGTTTTATGAGCTGAGTGATGGAACGTCTGGGTCACTTTCCAACTCCTCCAATTCTGTTTTCAGTGAATGTTTGTCCAGTTGCCGCTCCAGCACCTGCTTCTGCAGTCCATTGGATGCATCACTGAGCATCACAGATGGACGACCAAAATCGGCAGGTAAGCACCACATCCAAATCAGTCCCCGATAAACTGCTCACAAAAACTAATGTGGTTGAAAATCCCTCAATGATCGGACAATCTGACTTTGTTGATCTGAAATGGGATGGAATGTCTCCCTTTGTTCAATAATCCACATATTTTGATATATATAAATCCTGTAGTGTAGTGGTTAGAGCGCTCACCTTGCAAGCGAGAGGACCTGGGCCGGGCGAAACCTTAGACAAGTTTCCTTACTCCACACTCCTCTGTTTACCTAGCAGTAAGTAAGAATCCGGTTGTTACTCGATTGGCAGATTGCTTTTCAGGGCAATAATCATTCACTCCATGACTGTTTGTGGGACACTGCTGTACATAATTTGCTGCCAGTTTCAACTGCAAAAAACAGTTAATTCACTTTACAATATATTCTGTGCAGCACTTTGAGATGTCTCAGCTATGTGATAAGGTGCTTTATCAAATGCACATATACATCTACATATATTTGGAACCAGTTTTCCAAAGGATGTATGATGCCAATCTTGTCAAAAGATAATCGCATAACCTGCTTTTGTTGTGTTTCCGAAAGTGACAAAATGTATGTTTTCTTTTTCCCCCAGAGTGTGCTTTCTATATAAGTGTTGCATAGTTTTTTTTTGTGTGGCGGAGGTCAATTTGAAAATCCTGTACTTGTTGCTAGCATGTATACCCAAAACGAATACTCTGATAGAAAGTTCCCATTCTCATCTGGAGGGATGAGATCAGATGGGCCAAAGGGCCTTCTTCATCCGAACTGATCTTGTGATCTTGTGAAAGCTCTTTGCAACTTAGGCTGCTTAACACCTAGCTGGCAATTCAAGGTCAAATGGTTTGGTACGACTTGCCGATTGGCGGACAAGTCATTGCAAAACATTGCCATCTAATTTGCCCTTCCTTTTTGGATTGGGCAAGGCTTTACAAGACAAAAATCTCACTACAGTACTAACATGCTTCATTTTAAGATAAACTAGATGGAAAATGTAGCCTTTCTAGAATGCAGTACTATTTTAAAGACTATAGTATTACACGGTTGAGTCTAAATATATATTGAGGCATTCAGTGCATGAGTACATATGCAAACTATGTGCATAATCCATACCATTCATAACCTTTATTATTGAATGAGAGAATGTTCAAATTCCTTGCATTGTTTATATGCTTCTATTCACAGAGGGAACAGTTTTTTTGTGAAGTGTGTTGAAACTGAAAATGTGTGCGACCTTTATGTACCAAAATCTTATTTATTACTTGTTCTTCAAGTGGCCTTTATGATCCCATGTCACGATTTGAAAGGAGGGAGGGAGTTTCTCCCAGATTCTTGGCCAGCAATCCTCCAGATATTTGGACATTCACCTTGTGGCTGCTTATAATATTAATAATAATCCCTGTATGTGATATAACGCCTTATCACGTCTTTGAGGCATCTCAATGCAGCGTAGTGGCACAAAGGGGTGCCTTCAAAGACAGTCATTACACCCAACAGTGACAAGCATGAAGAGTTTTGAGATGGCAATGCACGAAGCAAGTGCGTTTTTTTTTCTTTTTACAATGGTTGCATTTGCCATATTGGTGCTTACGAACTACGCAACCAAACACCTTGATTTCAAGGCTCCTCATGCCTCCCTGTACCCTGTTATCTCCCCGGGGATATGATTACCAGCGGAACTGTGTTTTTCCGTAAGAAGCTTGAACTGTAAATAATTCATAATGTATGCCCTCCACTCTTTTTTCCCTCACCACAAGGCTTTATTGTTAGCATTATCGTGAATTTACACGGTTTAGATATCCCATCTCGTTACGGTTCTCCGTTACTCTTTGTGTTATTGTTGAACGTTTGCAATAAAAAAAAGGAATTCGATCCCAATGTGGAACGTGCCAACCGCCCTTGTTCAAGAGTCGACCTGGTTGTTTTGGTCCAGTTAAAACCGAACAGAATTATTAACTGGTGTGTTCTCGTTCGCAGAGGATCTCATTGGCTGGAGGGAGTGCGGCGAGGGACTGCTCGACTACCATTACGTGGGAGCCGTGCGACGCTCCTTCTCCGCGCCGTACTCTAGCTCGCTCGACGTCGTCACTGACGTCCACCCCAAGTATCAGTGCGACCTGGTCTCCAAAAACGGCAGCGACGTCTATCGGTATCCGAGCCCCCTGCACGCCGTGGCCGTCCAGAGCCCGATCTTCTTCCACCCGGCAGCGAGCGGCTGCATCAAAGAGGAGGAGAAGCCGCTCTGTGGCGACCGGTCGATGGCACCTCAGTCGGCGCCTGCAGATGGCGAGTCGGCTGCCGCCATTCCCCAAAGCAGTTCTTGGCCAACGATACAGCTTTCGACCGTGAAAAGACTAGACAATTACATTTTTGGCCTCATTCAGAAAAAAGCCCAGCCAGTCAGGCCAAACAAGCCAAGGACCAGTTTGAACCCAGACCCACTGAAGGGAATCCTGAGGCAGGGCAGCGTATGTGTCAGGCAGACTGCAATTATCCCTCCGTCGTGTACTGAAATGAAAGCACCCAGAAATATCTACGCGCACTCTTCTGTGTCCAACTGCCCCGAATTCGGTGTGATGTCCCTACAGAAGCAACAGCAGAGCAGCGAGCAAGCGCCAGACCACAAAAGTGCACCATCGACCAAGGCTGACTTAACAAACAGCCAATTAACTGTTCTACAAAATGGCGTCAGTGAGCCTCAGACTGCCGGCCTTTCCAAGAAAAGGGTTACCACCACTGCAAATGGGCTACTAGCCCCATGCACTGCAGCTGCCAATTGCCAGGAGGGAAATGGCGAGCGTGCCATCTGTTCACCCAAAGACAATGGACGAGCACGGGCGGGCGTACAGGAGGAGAGCAGCATCTCGCAGCCTCCCAAAGTGGTGTCCTCCAAAGGTTCTGTGGAGGAGAGACCGCCGCTGGATTTCAGGAGTGAAGGGTCTTCGGTGCAGAGCTTGGAGGACAGTGGCCACCTAGTGAATGCCCAGTACATCCCGGGGCAGCAGCAAGTGATCAAGTCCCGTAAAGGCACGAAGAACGTAAAGATCGGCAAAGTTAAGAGCTCTGCGTTGAAGCCCAAACCACACTGCGATGCTGGTCCGGATGTGAACGTTCAAACGTTGAAGGACAGGCACAAAGCGGCTCCGAAAAAATGCCGCTTTTCCGATGACGTGGACCATGTGAAGAAGAATGTCAGGAAGACAACCCCCAGAGCCAAGAGGGGCTGCCACCCTCCTTCCGAGAGCAGCCTCCTAGGCAGACACAATGGGGTCACCAGATCTGTCAAGTGCAATGGATCAGGAAGGGAAGTTGTTCTGGTCAAACCCAGATACAAGCAGCGGGTTGATTATCGCAGGTGGAAATCCACAGTGGAGGTTACCCATGAGGAGGCGCTGAAACGGTTGCGAAGACGCAACAGGAGGGAAGCCCTCGGCCAAGTGTCCGGTGTATACGTTCAGGCCAGCGTGCAGCAAGCGAGCGGAGTCTGCGGGATCCGAGGCAGCGACTCCGAGTACTCGGCCGAGTGTGAGTCTCTGTTCCACTCGACCGTGGCGGACACCAGCGAGGACGAGCAGAGCAACTACACCACCAATTGCTTTGGAGACAGCGAGTCCAGCCTGAGCGAGGTGGACTTTGTCGGGGAAACCACGTCGTCCAGTGACTCTGACGAAAGCGGAGGACTGGTCTGGCCGCAGTTAGGTCAGCCTCGGCCCAGCCAGGCCACAGCAACAACAACAGCAGCTCCAGAGCTGAAGAAGTCTCCACCAAAGGCCTTTGTCAAAATCAAAGCTTCACACAATCTAAAGAAAAAAATCCTGCGCTTTCGATCTGGTTCACTGAAACTAATGACGACTGTATAAGAGAAAGTGTCTTTCATTGTATTGAAAGTAAAGGGGACTTATTCTGAACTGTGTATTCTAAGGTGGGTATTCTAAAAGAGTGACTAATGTGTGCTTTGTTTTTGTAAGAAATAAGCATGTAATGAGTTTTTACTACAATATTCCATGTGCATGACTATCTTCAATATTGGCACCAAATTGTACAATAACTGTATATAGTCCATGTATATTAATACAATATGTTTTATGCTCTAATAAATTGTCTACCTTGAATCCTTGAACTGTTTTGACAATTTGCTTCACATGTTACCTTGCGACACAACTCCAGAGCTCTGCGACCTACATCCAGTGCCTCTGTGGAAATGTACTGTTAATGAGATGAGGTTAGACCTGATAATTAAAGTGCACACTCACCGCAGCTTGTGTGAATGGTAAATAATGACTGACAGGGAGCTGCAATTGTCTCCATGTGGTTAATGCAAAGCAGAGCAGATAGTTATCTCTAATTGGTCTCATTGGTGCCAGTGCTTTGCTTATCACTGGACAACCATGTTGGAATCCCGTAGTGTAGTAGTTAGCGTGATCGCCTCATAAGCAAGAGTACCTGGGTTTGATTCCTGGGTGGGCGAAACCTTAGGCAAGTTCCTTACTCCACTCGCCTCTGTTTACCTGACAGTAAATAGGAACCTGGTTGTTAGTCGATTTGGTAGATTGCTTTCTGGGGATAATAATCCCTTCCCCCCACCCAAAAATTTAGTCACTTAATCCACGACTGTTTGTAAGACACTGCTGTGTGAAAATTGGCTGCCATGTTTCACCCACAAAATACACAACTATTTTGTGAAGTGCTTTGAGACATCGCAATGATGTGATAAGGCACTACACAAAATGCAAGGATTATTAATATATTATTATAGACAATAGAGTGTTACAGCACAAAAGCAGCCTGTTTGGCCCAACAAGTATATGCTAGTGTTTTTCTCCCATCTCATCTACTCTAACCCTGCATTCCTGCTTGCTCCCTATACCCTTTAACATTCCTCTTCCCACTTGGCTTCTGTTAGCCCAGCAAGGCAAAGTCAGAACAAGCCCAACGGCCCAAGCTGAACAAGCAGCAGGAAACTTGCCAGACAAGCTATGTGGTTTTAGCGGGTTAAACTGGTGACCCAACACACACATTGGGTCCCCAAGCCTTGGCTTTTGCCAACCTGCACCTAATACTCTCTGGAATTAGGTAAACAGGGTGTATCCCTCCAGGGAGAGAATGTGCATTCCATTCCAGATATAGGATTTTCCATGTGTATGCATTCGAACTCTCATAGTGATGAGTTTCCGTATGTGTCAGACAACCAGCTGACCAAAAAAAATCTTTTCTAGCAGAGAGAATGCAATGAGGCTTATGTCCTCACCCAATGTCTAGTCTGTGGTATTCAATATTTTGCCACTGCAATAGCAAAGGGAAGTGTGAGTACATGTTGCTTTATGATTTGTATGTTGATGTATTTTGTGTTCTGTTTAACAAAGGATTTTTCATTAGTCGGGATAACTTAAACAACTCCATTATGTCCAGAGCAGGTTGTAAGATCACTGCATTGGTGTGAAAGGCATACTGTAGAATTTGCTTTAAAGCGTGATGTAGCCTATTGACAAATCTAAAGCTTATGTCTATTTAGGAAAGGATGAAAAAAAAATACAGAAGTGTTTTCATGTGATTTATTCATCTTGTGTTGGCAAACCTTTATTAAGCTGACAAAGGTGGTCCCTTTTAAAGCGGTTGAAAAATTAGCCCAGAAACCAAAGTCTATGGATGTTCAGTGTGAGCTGTTCCCTGATATAATCTGTTCATAACTCTCCTGTTCCCCTTTAAGGGGGTGACACCTCACCTTGTTAAATTGATATTTTTAATGACATAAAATTGATAATTATAAATATCCTTGCATTTGATATAGCACCTTATCACATTATGAAGTGAATGACCAATTTTATTTGAAGGATTGTTGGCCAGCATCCTGGGAGAAACTACCTATACTTCTTTCAAATAGTGCCACAGGATTTTTAATCTCCAAGTGAACAGGCAGACAGAACTTGGTTTAACAGCTCAACTGAAACAAAGTGGGGTTTCATTGACACTGCCATCTCTTAAGAGCTGAAATTAACTGCTGACTGTAAGTAGAGATGGTTATATAAATATAATGCTTTCTCTTTGAAGGAAGCTAATCGGGACCTGAAGAGAGTTGACAAGATACCACTTCCACAGTTGTAGCTGGGTTGATGATCTGAGCCTTAGCCGTTCGGTTAATTTCCAGACAGAACCTGCACCACTGTGAGATAGCTAGAAGCAAACTATTGAGCTGAAATGTGATTAGAATTGATTTAATCCTGATACTGTCACAAAAAACGCCTGAGGTCAGACAGGAAAGAACCATTTCAGACGAGAGAAATCGTGCAGACCCTGGATTTTTCCCTTTGAAGAAGTAGATAACAGACTGAATGTTGCCTGCGTGAAAGCATAGTTTGCATTCGGCTTTTAAAAATCTTCCAATTGCTCAGTGGATAAGATACTCTTATTGCACCAGTCAACCAGTTTCTTCAATTGAAGTTTCCATTTTGTGGCAAGAGATCTTAAAACGGATCAGATTCATGCGGATTTTTAAAAAAAATTATCTTCTCCCTCCCCCCATTATGTTTCATCGTGTTTCAAAGTCTCTTATTGAACTTTATTGCAAAGGGCTGTTGAGGATGGTTAGAAAATCCTCTCGCACCACAAGTCTTCTGTTGAAATCCAGTAATGATCAGTGCTGGATGTTTTAGCTTTTAGTCACTAACACACTGAACATGTGATTGAACACAGAGACATTTTTCGTGCTTGTTATGGATTTTATTCTTTGTCGGGTTTATTTGGCAAAAGCTTTTCCTTTTTATCACTTTCAAATTGAGGGGCAGTGGTCAATTCTGTAATATTTGCACAATTTTCTGAAGTCCGACATTGGGACTTGAACTTACATGTTTGGATTTTGAACTCACAGTGCTGGGGTTGTGCTGCATTGACAGAGATGACATCCTTCGGATAAGACGTTAAACCGAGGTCCCATCAGCCTGTTCAGGTGGACACTAATGATTCCATGGCAATGCCCGAAAAGAGAAAAGAATTTCTCTTGGTGTCCTGGCTAAGAATCCCCCAAATAAAATTGGTCATTCACAGTGGTTTGTCAGACATTGCTGTGTGCAAATAGCTGCCGCATTTGTCCACAAATACCCAGCCAATCCACAATCCAGTAAATCATGTGAAGAGCTTTGAGAGTTAAGAAATCCCATTAAGAAATTCCACAAAATTGACCTTCTCTGACTTTGAGACATCTCAATGACATATTAAAGCGCTATATCAAATGTAAGGATTATTATTTATTAAACAAATAAAAAGACTGAGGGTGGTGGGGGAGAGGGGAGTCATCTTGATAAGAATTTTGTTTTGGGTGTGCCAATGTGATATTAAAATACAAACCTTTGGTGTTTTCAGCCCTTTAGCAAAATTGCAGTGGAAATGACAGCCTCTTTCAAACTGTCCCTTTTCAAAACTGTTAGTAAACAATTGCAGCTGGACTCTTATTTTGTAATCCCAAACATTTGTTCTCAAAGAAAATGTAATTTGCCAAGAAGTTCTTCAATTATCTAGCAAATAGACTGAGCACAAGGATCAGCTGTCCTTCTCATTGAAGTCAATAATGGGGAAATGATCAAGTGGAGTTAGTTCTAAAAGCTGTTTTGGTTTTAAGAGGATCGTTGAGTGCATCAGCAGAAGGCTGACCTGAAAGGTCAGTAATGTGACCAGGTGGACAAACTTAATACCTGAACAACTGGTGCAGAGCTTTGCTAAGCTCCTGCATGTTCCCTGAAGGAAGATGATGCCAGGGGAGGTTTGATCAGCGAAGACCTACAGTAAAAACAATGTGCAGATCATTATCAACATGCCTGTGGGACTGGGATTCAAGCCCGATCGGTTTACGGGTAAGGAGATGGATCCCAGCCAGATGGCTGTTAAATAAGCACTTACTCTGAGCTGTATGTGTTTTCTTTTGTAGGCCACTGAAGGCTGAAGTTTTAATCAACAAAATGTTGTACTTTCACAACACTCTGTCTGCTCTCTCAAAGTACAAGGTGGTGATTTAGCAAAATGGGCAGGTTGCCCTTCTGGTTCATTAGTAAAGACTATAAGCGCAATCTACAAATGGGCCATGTAAATAGATGTTGAGTGATTCTAAATTTCAAGGCTTTTGCAAGCTCCTAAGCAATGTCAATTGGTAGCACTCTTGCCTCTGGTCAGAAGGTTGTGGGTTCAAACCCTGTGTCGGTACATGAGGTCAGGGTCCAGCTTGTGCTCCAGGGCAGTGCTGGGCGCATTGTACAGGTTGTTCACAAAGTTTTAAAAAGGGGAGTTTCTTCCATGTTCCTGTCCTCCGGGTAAATTAGGAGTTCACCTCATAGGGCCATGCTGGCACAAATGGCTGCTGTTTGCTTAACAGCAATTGCTGCACTTAATGGCAATTACCTGTGAATTGCTTTGCAATGTTTTGATGTGATAAAGTGCTATGAAAATGAAAGTTTGTTCCTCTTTTCTAAGAAAAACTTATTTTAATTATGCTTCCTAAGGAAGACCTTGCAAACGTGCAGTGCTTAAAATGTGTTAAGTTGATCTGACTTAAAAACATATATAGTGCACACAGACTCGCTTAGAGAGCTAATAGGGACCATTTAAATGTGTTTATCTTGGAAGCTTTGCTGTGATTTATTTTACGCAGAATGTGAAAAAATGAATGATGTTCACTCACAAAACACACAGTCAAACCACTTTACAGTATATCCTGTGAACGCTTTGAGACATCTCTATGACATGATAAGATGCTATATCAAATGCAAGGATTATTATTATGTTGTAGTTCTGTATATCCTGCCTCTCCTCCATGCCTACAACCCACTCAACTACCCATTCTCTTTGATCAGCTGGCTCCGGCCTTCTACATGTCCATCGTCCTCTCCACTCCATTGGCAATTATGCTTTCAGCCACATTACCACAACTCTCTGGAACTCTGCCTGGTTCCCTCTGCCTTGCTTCCTCCTCACCCATCTTCAGACCGTATCGGAAGACCTTCTTCTTCGACCACAGCTATTGTCCCCTCCCCCTCTCCCTGGCTTAGTGTTGAGCTCCACCACTGTTAAGCGCTTCAAGATGCTACCTGCATGAATAGCGCTAATTAGAATACAACTTGTTGTATTG